GATTTCATTTCTGTCACCCCATTGGCCTCGCTGGATCCAGAAGCAAATCTGGTTCCCCTCGCACCGACTCCTGCCCTGCCAGGCAACCTCCTCTGGTTCTTTCCAATTCCACCCCTTCTCCTTTATTTGACTTTCTAAAAATGTCTCTTAGAGAGTCCTAAATTTTGTATTATGTTGAAATAGTGTATCTTCTTAAACCATTTTCCATCTCCCTTTGTAATGAGCTAGAACATAAATAAATTACACAATATGCAAAAAAAAAAAAAAAAAAAGGAAATGTTTTTCAATTGCTATTTCCAGGGGGAAAATGCTTTTAAATCCTTACCTCATCATGTATGGACTACAAATGTAGCTCTTGGGGCTGTTTTTAAGCAAATCTATAGATCTATAGATCTATAAATCTATAGATCTATAATCGTATATGTAGCATTTGCACATGTAGCATTTGCCAATGCATTATATCCCCTTGCAGAACTCAGGTGAAGTCCCTGCAGCCTGGAGTTAGGCTCAGCACAAGAAGGGCCTCATCCTTCAACCAACACCACTTGTTTTGGATGGAGCTTACAGGCTCTTACTCTCCTTGGGAGGGCGTCTGGCCCCAGTGCTAAGCGTGTGCCATATGTGACTTCCTGGCCAGATCACGGGCGAACAGTCGGAAAATGGTTATAGACACATTTCTCTGGAAGGATGCCGCAATCCAGGCAGACTTACAGCTTGCACTGCAGCTCTCCAGGAAGCAGCCATCACATCTCTGTGCCCCGAATTACGGAGCCCTGCAGAGGTAGACAGTCACCCGGGCGTGAGGGCAGCACGGCGGGGAGGTTGGCCCATTTGAACACTGTGCTGTCCTTTGACAGCCTGGGCTCCCGGGCCCCTGAGCTGTCTAAACAGGTGGCACATGGGCTGGCAGGGGGGCACCTGAGAGAAGGGCACCACTAGGTAATGGATGGGGCCAGAACCTCCTGGGCGCCTGCTCTCATAAATACTCCAAATTTTTAAATGGGCAGCGAAACGGTCAGCCTTCCTCAAGCAAGTCTTTTGATAAGAAAGTGCCCATCCCCAGAGACCCGTCTTCAGCCCGGAGGGTCTCCTGACGCAGGAAGCTGTTCTTGTGAACCACGAGCAGCTGAGGGACACATTTTCAGTGTTTAAATCCAGATCTGCACATTGTGTTGCTCCATCGCTGCGGGAGGATGACCCAGTTGCTTCACATCAGTGGCAAAAGCATCCCGTCAAATTCTGGACACGACAACTCTCGAGCCTCAAACGACACCAAAGAAACGAGGCCTATGCTCCAGAGCGCCGCGACCTCCCTGCGCAGGAGGGCCCTTCTCGCCCTGTTGTCAAGCTCTCCATGCTCCCTGCTCATCGTCCGCACCTGCGTGCATGCCATCAGAAGGCAGACAGTCAGTAAATGGTTGTTTAATAAATAGAGCTGATGGAAAAGAAGAGCTGCTGGTCTGGACAACACTCCTCAGTGTGACTGCATGACCCCCCACACCCACCTTTCCCCTTCACCCCACTCGGGGTCCAGAGGGAGCAGCGCACACCAGCGCAGGAAGTGTCGGCCCAGCAGGTGCTGGAATGTGGTAAGTCCCAGTTTCGGGCTAGAAGGCCCGCCTGCCTTTGTGGGATCCCCAGGCTGATGGAGGAAGAACAATCAAGCTGAAAACGAGGAGGGCTCAGGGAGAGAGAGGCGCCGCCATGCTCTCCAGGACCGAGTCCGGGGTGCCGGCCAGGACTGCAGAAGGCTTGGGGTTTGGGTCTGGCTCCTAGAAGCTTAGGAAGCAGCCAGACCCAGAGTAGACATGCTTGTGGGGGTGTCTTGGGGGGCTTGAGGCTCCTTGCAGAGCTCCCAGGATCCCAGTGAGGTACAGGAATTGCCAACCACACTGTGCACCCCAGGGTGGTATGGAAGTCACCACACCACAGCCTCATGGTGGTGCCCGGCCTGGTGTGTGTGCAAGCGTGTGTGTGTGTGTGTGTGCATGGGTGTGTGTATGCATGTGCATGGGTGTAAGTGTGGGTGTGTATGATGGCAAGCATTTCTATCCCTCCAATGGAATGGAGTCTCAAAATTAAATTCTAGAAAAACACAAATGCCCATTTTTGCACGCTGAGGCAGCCTTGCACAAAGGAGCCCTTTCCTCCAGCTGTGCCAGGCCAGGCGGCCACGGCATTTGCTTTGCCCATCCCCAGGGCCATGTCTTGTCTCTCCTGACCATTCACAGGGGTGGTGGCAGTGACACCCGCAGCCAGCTGTAATCCCTGCTTTTTCCTGGCTCCTCCCTGAGCGACACACTACCCCCACCTCTCTGCAGGAATCTCTGGGAAGTTGCAAGGAAACTTCTAGAAACCAGAGGCCAACACAAGACCTTCCTGGGTTAGAAGCTCAGACAGTTCTTCGTGCCGAGATGCTTCCATCTCTCCAGTGTCGCCAAGTCTACCTCTGCCCAGCAGGTCTTTGACAATATCCGCGGCTCATGAGCAGCCGCCTGCTCTTTCCAAGCAGTGGGGCTGCTTCATCCCTGGTGACTTGCCTGCCCGAGAGCAAGGCTGCTGTGATGAGCCGGCTGTGGCCCCGCAGACACACAGGAGGTGGTGTTTCCAGCCAGGGTCCGTAGGGCAGCATCTTCCTTCACTTTTCCTCGCTTTTCAGATGATGCTGCGTTGCTGTTCATCCATGAACGTCGATGGTATACCCTGGGGCACGGCGTCTTCCACTTGGGATACAGGATGGTTTCTGTGCTCAGAGAAGTGAGGAGAGCAGGTGCAAGAGGAGGAGACCCTGGGGTTCAAGTCCCTGGCTCCCAACTCTCCTGAAACTGAAGCATGTTTCCCAGGCTGGGTCCCCAGGCAGCCACGATTAGCCCCAAGATGCCAACTGCGTGGCCTACTTAGAGCTTGGTTTTCACCGACCCAACAGTGACACTAATGGGTGCTAATGGGTGACGGATTTGCAGCCCATGAGCCAGTGCAGCTAAGGTGGGGGGAGAGTGAGAGCTGCTGCAGGACCCTCTGTCACGCCCACCAGCCTTGCAATCGGGTGTTTAATGTCCTGGCTCGCCGTCATGACTCATAAAGCGATGTCAGCTCCAGGAGGCCCGTGGGGAGCTCGCTTTGGAGCAGAGGGGCCAGCAGACACCGCCCGGGGTAGCCCTGCGCACACAGGCCCGGGCTGGAGCTCTTTCTCTTTCTCCCACAACGGAGATAAGCTCCACCAGTAATTCCCACGTCAAGCTGCTGGAAAAAGCCAATCTAACGTCATTGTATCGTTAGGTGTATTATAAGTCAGTTTGAAAAAAAATTGAGCAATGCTCACTAATTTCTAGGAAAAGTTCATTAGAAACTAGGAACCCCAGGGACTGGCTTTGGAGGCCCCCAGGGTGGAACCTGGTCACTCCGCTTGCAGGCTCGTCCGTCCCCAAGAGCCCACCCCAGGCCCCTCGTGTGGGGCACACCCCTATCCTGAGTTCAACTCCAGCTGCCTTTCCACTTCGGCGTCTTTCTGGTGAAGGGGCGCCTCTCGTGGCCAGCACAGCATCTGGCTCCTGCCCCCTCTGCCCGTGTGGGCGTGGGGGCGATCACCAGGGCCCCCAGGAGACTAATTATGGGGAAGCAGGACTCCCAAATATGATTCTACCTGCTCTCACTTGAGAATGGAGTTGAGTCAAGCAGAGCAGAGTTCCAAGCATCGCGGGCTGTGGGTGCACACCGCGCGCAGAGTCCTCTGGAATCCAGCCCGCCACCCTGGTGACTCGGTTGCTTAGTCCGCACGTCAGCTGCCCAGCGATCCCTGGGCCTCTGGGGAAAGTCATCCAGGCAAAAACCATATTTAAGAGATTCGAGTATAAAGTTCTCTTAATCCTGAAAGTCTCCTTCCAATGACCTCCTCATTCTCCTTCTTTCAAGGCTGGTGGCAAAAGCATTCTGAATTCTGAACACATGAGCACAACTTGAATCCAGGGAATTTGAGATGTCGCTAAATCAGGAAGCATCTCATAACCAAAGTCATGTCAGCTTAACCAGCAGCATTTTTCCCTTATAAGTACATAAAATAATGGTGCATTTTATAACCAGTGGCGCTTTAGATTCTATGAAATACAGCAACTAAATGAGTCCTTTCAGAATTCAAGGTCCTTTTTTAAAGCAGGTTAACTGTGTTATTGGATTTAATTCCTATCTCAGTCAATTTTCTCCAAATTTGCAGAAATCGCACCGCGCAGACATGTGCGGGGAGGGGAGGCTCCTCGGGGTCAACTGCCCCGGGTTCTCAGGGGTGTTCCCTGACGGGAGAATTTAACCCAAGAGAGTTCCATTATTTAATAATTGGGAAATGAGTCACAGTTTTCTCCGAGACTTGGACACACGAACGTAAATCATGGGCCTGTCGAGGTGTCCTGGGGTCCAGGGTTTCCCTTGCTTAAATGGCTGTCAAGCCCCTTCTCTGGGGCAGAGAAGAACGCTGAGAAAATGGACTCTGGGTGATTAGACAACTTGCCCCAAAGGCCAGCTGACCAAGAGACTCAGCCGGGAACGCAGCCTGAGTCTGTGACCTCAGCTCCAGCCCCTCTGCACCGAGCAGTTTCACGCACCGGTTTTCAGCGACACCAGTGGGGCAGCCTGGTGCCGTGTCTCTTGCCTAATGCACTTCCCTAGAAATGTCAAGACTCACAAGCTAACAGGAGTAAAGACAAATTTACACTAGCGCTCAAGCCTCTTCCCCCCAAGTTGCAGACGCTTCACTGCGCTGGAACGTCCACTGGAACCTGTCACCCAGTTGCCGTCAAGGTCCAAGGACGTGTTTCAAGGCAGGTGGAGGTAAAGGACAGGCGCTAAGAGACGGTGGGGATACCCCATCCGCACAGGTCCCCAGTGTCCCCCGAATCCCACGAAACTCCCTGGGCAGTGGTACCCCCCAGCAGGAGGATGCTGCGGGTTTGTGACTCTTTCACTTCTGATTATGAAAATATCCGTATCACACCGCACTGCACCACAATCATTTGCATTTTTATTGTTTTCACTCAAAGGCTCCTAAGTTATTTAGATAAGCACCATTAAACAAAAATCTGAGTAATTAGTTCTTTTGATGCATCCTGGTGGCAGCTCAGAAACTCGAAGATGTTTATTAACAATGCAATCAGTCCCAGGTGGGACTTACTATAAACAGAGTCAGCCCCAACGTGCGTGCTCATTAAATCCCGAGCAGGAGTTAGGTCTTTCTCTCCCCGCGCCGTTCTTCATCCACCAGCCCCTGCCACGAGGGTACGATCGTGGTGTCTTTCTCGCCACTAAAAGGCCACAAATCACTGCTAATGTGGAGCCCCAGAGGGCAGCTGGATGCAGCCACACTCTTCAGCAGCCACAGTCACAGAACTTCAGAACCGAAGGCATCTCCGGGACCAGCTGCCTGAGCCTCCTCACTTGACTCACTGGGGAGGTGGTCAGTCAGGGAAGAGACTTCCCCAAGGCCCCCAGCTGCTCGGGGCCACAGCCTCTGCCTCTTGCCCCAGGGAATTTTCACCCTGAGAATCTCCATATTGTCCCCCGAAGCCAAGGGATCCAGCTGTTCTGCACTGGACCTGGGCAAAGCACCCCTCTTTCCCCAGGCATTAGTAATGTCTAGTGTTGTCATAAAATGCAGTCAATGTGAGTATCTGTAGGATCTTCAAAATTCACCACAGGAAAGATTTACATGCCAAAAGAGGAGCGGATTTTACTCATGTCCATTAGCAAAGAGCTGAGAGGCTGGGCTGCTGCCAGAAGGAGACCTGGGCTTGCCTGTCCTGAGAGTTCTGGGATACGCAAAGAATCTGGGGGCGCTGGGTCTGGGAGGCTCAGCCGGGGAACTCTGCTTCAGTCTGGGTCCTTCCTCCTGGGGGCTTTCCTGCAGCGGAAATGTCACCGCTAAGGAGGCCTCTCCCCTGTGTTTTGTAACAAGCAGCCCATGGGCAAGATTTCAAACAAAAGGTTTCCTGCTAATCTCCCTCTGTCTCGCTGATGCAGGATCTCCAAGGGCTGAACAGAGTCGGGCTGCCCGCCCACCTGCTGAGCACCTCCTCCTGAGCAAGTCAGCAGGTGCCCGACACCTCCCTGCCTATCCGGTCTTGAAGGTGTTCACCGGGAAAGGTCTAGAACCTGCTCAGTGTCCCCAGCACCACATTTGCCTGCTTCGCCAGCCCGACGCAAACACACGTTTTTCACTTGGGAAAAATATTTCAGTCGGGGAAACTCTCTTCGAATTTGATCCTGATTTCCTAGTTTTTCTTCCTTTTATAGCAGAGTTCTGTGAAGATTTAGGGCCGTTCTTTCTGACAACAGGATTTTCTCATAATGGACTTTTTCTCATGCATGGACTTCATTTTTAACTCAAATTGCCGCTGTCACCAGGTGCCACAGAGACACCTGACAAGAGCTTGTCGGCCTTCCCATGAGGCTCAGTCAGTTGCAGAGGGACAGTCGTCACCTGCCTGAAGGTGGTGGAGGAAGCCAAAGGGTTGTGGGCCCCCCAGTCCCTCTTGTTTTTGGGGTGCTGTCTTTGTGCCCAGAGATGCTGCTGGTCAAGCTAAAATGTAGAGTCAGGCAGGGGCCTCTCAGCAGGACAACAGGACAAAGTCTTGGTATGAGGAACGTACCGGAAAATCAGCATCTGCTGAAGCTAGCAGGCAGACAGGGCGGCCAGGTTAGCAGGACCAGCTCGACACCCTGACGGGAAGTTAAGCATAAACAGGGAGTCGGCACAGGATGCTTTGATCAGCAGCAACAATGGAGCCCCCGGGGCAACAGCCCCTACTCACCCCCCCCCAGCTTGTGCAGACATTTATGCACCTCCAGTCCACATCCCACCACGTACATCCTCCACACACTTGCCCGCCTTCCCCAAATCTGACACCAAAAAACCGTGAGACTGGCCAGGGGGACGGGGTTGCATCCCCAGAGATGCGGCCCCTCTGGGTCTCTCACTACTTGGACTTTGAGTTGTTTTTCCTCCCCCCAGCACCACTCCCAATGCTGCCACCCACAAGGCGACAAAGGGTCGGTGAGACGCCTGTTGAGATTCGGTCTGAAAAGGGGAAGTCGGCGACCGAGAGGAGAGTGGGGTTCAGCTCTGGGTTCAGGCCCGGCAAGAACAAGATTCCACCAGAACCAATCAGAAGCACAAACTCGAAGATGCTGAGGTGTGACCCCAAAGCTGATGCCGAAAAATGCCTTAACTTGTTTTTTTTTTTTTTTATTTTCTCCAACCAGACAAACCACAGAGACCCTCCTTACAGAGGCTCCAGACGAGCTTCGCCAACCGCTTGCTCATCTTTGCCACTAATCAGGGCCCCAGGCTGCCCCTCGGCCTCTCCTCCCCCCACAACCCCGCCCCCTAGGATGCTGATGAACTAGAGGGGTTTCTGAGTTCCCCAGGCTGAGCTGAGCAGCACCGCTCTTTCCTACTGGCAACAAGGAAAAAATAAATTAACTTGGAGGATTTCTTGATGGAAACAGTTTACAATCAAACACCCCACTGTTGACAAAATCATCCTGTCGCTTCACGCCTCTCTGCCAACTGCATAATTAGTGTCATTACCAGTAACTCATGGAAATATAAATGAATGTGATTATACAAGACGAAATTGCATAAATATGAATATGTTATGGAGCCTAAGCTGGGTCACAAACTGTACGTGACATGGAGCTGGCACTTGTTTCCCGGCCGGGACCTCCCATCCCATGCCCAGACGAGGGATGCCAGTCACGATAGCGCTTTACCGAGATATTTCTGGGTGGACATTACAGAGAGCCAGTGGTGAGGGCAGAGGAAGGACAAGTATCCTCTTTAGAACTGATTTTAAAATGCATAAAATTTTAAGCAATTTTTTTTATGTTTAGGAGACGCAATTTCATTTTAAGAGTGAGCTACATGGAATATCATCTCAAAGGAAAATATCTTTTTAAATAAGTGAGTGTCAGATTAGATGCGTCTGACTTGACATCACCTCCTGCTCTGGGCCCAGCAGGTCGGACCAAGCTGTCAGACTTGCCACCTTGGGCAGTTGCTCCAGGGCGTGAAATCCGCTTCCTCTCTTCCCTGCACCAGCCCAGCTCACACGCCCTGCCTTGGACGCCCCAGCCTGGATCCTGCAAAGACAGACTTTAACACTTCTTAGACTATACGACATAGGCCCACATGCTTTTCTGTCTGGGTTAATGCCATCTTGGAATTTCCATACTTCCATACTTCACTCTCCCCTCTCCCGGGTCCAGGACAGGCTGAGAGGCCACAGGCGATCCTGAAATGCATAAAGAAAATCACTGCATGAAATGGCACGTTTCTTAGTTTCTATAGAACATAAGATGAAAATGGGGAAAAATTGGAGAAAGCCCAGGTATTCTTTTCAACAGGGTGAGAGTGAATCCTGGAACAGGTCGCAGCACACACAGGAAGCAGACGGTGCTCCTTAGCACTCGCCAGTGGGGCTGGGAGATCACTGCCTGGTCAAGGAGGTCACATGTTCCAGGCGTGTGCTCCATCAAGGAGGCATTGAGTCTCGCGTGGTATCACTGGATTATTAGCTCGATGAGGGCAGAAAGTTTTTTTGGGTTTCTTATAGTTACAGTGGACAGAATAACCCCACAGTGTCTGCAGCTTGGTCTCTGGAGCCTGGGACTGTGTTCGTCACATACTGCCGATTTGCAACCATCCCAGGTCAGGTAGATTCACCATCAGGTAGATTCACCATGATTTGAAAGGGAACTTTGGAGCCTTGGCATCATTTTTGCAGGGTGTAGCAGTGATCTTGTGCTCTGGTTTCCCTCCCATCGGATTTCATCAATGGGGTGCACCAGCTGGAGCCTGTCCACTCTTTTTGTGGGTTCCTGGCCTGGCTGCATGCCTCCACTGAAGCCAGCGCTTGCCCACTCGCTCCTCTTTTGGGATTCGGCTAAGGCTCCTTTCTCTTGCCTGTTGCAGCCCAGGAGCCATCAAGTATCCTCATCATCACCAGACCCAGAGAGCTCTGCCATCCTTGCTATACCCCAGCCCGCACCTTTGCAGACAGCTGTGCAAAGGTAAAATCCCGCCATTCCTTCAGTAGACTCTTTTCTATGACCAAAGTTTTAATGCTTTGTCTGCAAGCCTCCCATATCACTTTCACTTGAAAACACAGACCAGAAGGAGTTACACGCCCTGCTTATCTGGGGCTGCGAAGTTCCCTCCTCTCAATGACAGACAAGAGAGATCCTGAACTTGATGGAGACCAGAAGACTCTACCACAGAGGCAGTGATAGATGTAATTGGATGATGTGACAATTAGCGAGAAAACGGTCCCTTTGCCACTTCCAGCACGTAAATCAGTACAGAACTCATCCCAGCTCCTTGCTGGTGTGATTGCAGACAGATGGGCACTTCCAGGAGCTGTGATCAAATGCGAAATTACCAAATTCAACCCCAAGTTGGCAGTCAGGTTGGGCTAGCTGCTTGCTCTCAGGGTAGAGGAGATTAGCCATTAGCTCTTCAGAAGAATAAGCAGGGCAAGTCACAGACTGTATGAGGTAGTGACTGGGTGTGTCCTCACTTGCAAAGGACCGTCGAGAAGCTTTTGAGGAGCTAGAATGCAAGCACCACTTAGAGGGCAGGCAGTCAGTGCTGTCTTGAAAATATTTGTCTGCTGATTGAGTCAACCAAGCAGCAGTAGCCACAATAAGCACCACGGATGGCCCAGGGCCCGAGGGTGCCAGGAAGACCCCAGTCCTGCTCTCCCACTATCCATCTGAACAGAATTGGGGCAACTTGGTCAAGGGTTTTTTAAACCTGTGATACACAGATATACCAAAATAGAGCTCCTAAAATGGAGTAAATGTTAGAGTACAGTTGTATGTGTTTCCCTATGGAAAGGACTCCCCGTTTTTAATAGACATCACAGCACCCATTAACTCTTCCTGCATGAAAAAGGATAGAACCACCAAGTTCAAGGTGTCCAGTGGTCCTTCCAGACCCAACATCTGATGATCCTATTGTCATTTCTGGTCAATACGCGCTCAAAACAACGACATTGGCACCAATGTGCACAGTGCACGGAGCCCTTGCATGAAGCTGGGATCACCACCCTGCTTTCCTGAAGTCATCATCTTCCAGACCAAGAGGAAGCCTGGAGAACCGCCTTGTTGGCAGGTTTCAGGTGACCGCCTTCAAATGAGGTCAGTTCATAGACCTATACCAGCATCAGTAGCTCCGAAGACCTGCTATATCCTGCCTATGAAAACTGAATACTAAGGCAAAACAATGTTTCCCTAGGGAAGGAGCTTCAGATTACCTGGTGATGACAAAAACTTGATAACTATGGTTCATTTAAAACTGTCATCAGTAACACCAGAATGTGGGAAAATGAACTCTTTATTGGAATTCAGAACATTATTATTTCATAAAAATGAATCAATATCTACCCAGGTATGGGACAATCCCCCGAGTCTTCTCATATTCCATATACTTTCTGAAATGTTTATATTAAAGCATTGTACTCCACAAACTCAAGAGAAGGTTGAACATTTCATCTGACAGCTTTCCCCAAGCAGCTCTTACTATATAGTATTGAGCTAATTTAAGTGAAATATAGCACATTAAATAAGCTTAATTACGTCTAGTGTTTCTCTTTTTACAAGGTAAAAGATAAATCTTTGTGATTTCTCTGGGGCCTTTGGGAAATCCCAGAGTTAGTTTAGGTGTAAAAGATATCTGAAATCTTTATTTCATTTTACTCTAAATATAGGATCCAATCTGGGTAAGGCAAAGTCAAAAGTGTTGTCAGAGGCGGTCTGGGCACACGTTTTTGACTGGATCACAGGGACCCAAGACTGGGTGCCCAATTGCATGGTGACCTATTTAATCAAAGTGACAACAAAATATTTTGAAATAAACATAAAAGCTATACATTCATAAAGGACCTAATCTCTTTCACAAGTGAGAAAACTTTGTTCTTGGGTTTTTTGAACAATCAAGGACATAATAAAGTCAACATAAAGCACAGAAAACTGTTCTGGTAAGTGCAGGTTCTCAGCAAGGCAAGAATTTTTCACAGAAGGTAAAGAAAAATCTTTTATCTTAAAAACTATGGCATTCATCTCTAAATCAGTAAGAGAAGCCCAACGAAAATGAACAAAGTTAACTAAAAGCTTAACCTACTGTATGGCTTCTTTTCAGATGTAATTACAAACCAATAATAACATTTATTTTCAGGTCTTATATTTCACAAATTTCTTTCATATTCTGGAATATACTGACTCTAATATGTGGTTGGTCTTTGATATCCAAAATTCCATTTCACTTATCAAATAGGTATCCAAGAATTATGCATTAATTAGCTCAGTTTGATATAAGTTTAAGGTTTTAAATTACCTAAAGACCTTGGAAGTTATGTTTAAGCTGACAAACTACAAGCTATAATTACTATTGATATTGAAAGTTTGTTAGAATAATGAATCAATTTAGTTGAGCGCAATTAGTTTTCATAATCCTTAACACTGTGTAGGAGTATTTATTATTAGCTCACGTGGTCATGAAACACATAGAATTTTATAAAGTTCTGACTCTTTTCTGATTCATAATTTTGATGAGAAAATCAACCAAATAAAATAACATGTATGCTTATACCTGGCCTGTACTGATCAGTCAGACAAAAGATACAGACTTAGTTGGAAACTGTAACTGTTGAACCAATTCAATGCACCAAAGCTATATCTTAATTAGGTAACTTGAGATTCTTAAATGGTTTCTCATTTAGCAATTTGTATAAGAATGATTTTTTACTATATGACGCTCTTAAATCATTAGAAATTCCACTTTGTCACTTCAGGGGAGCTTTTAAAATATTTGATTCATGTAAGCAAGTATAACTCTCCAAAGAACCATCAGAAGAGACCATCTAAAAGAGACCTAACCTGGTTTATTAGCGTCCTCTGGAGAGAGGAGGGAATCTTCTTCATACAGTGAGAGAACAAAGCCTGTATCGACTACATGCCCGGACACGTGGACAGAAAACCATGGGAACAGACAGTTTCAGCTCCACGACACACACCAGTCAATGGCGATGTTGTCCATGAAGGTCAATGAAGGTTGGCAGGCCACGGCCCCGTACTCACCTGGGGGTGCACGATGGATAAACTTCTAGGCCTCTCCTCAGACACACCAAGTAGAACTAGGGTGGGATCCAGGAATCTTCATTTCAATAATCTCCATGTTACACTCGGACAAATTCAAGTTTACATTTCCCTGGGGAAAAAGCAGTTATGACTGAAAAATAGATACTGACATTTTCCGATAAATGGTACACTGCTCAGTGCCTTCAAAGCAAAGGTCATGCACACTGACACTCACTCGTCCAGATGATAGTGTAAAATCCAGGGGTCACTGTTCTAAGGTGCTTTGTTATGCTGTGTGGTGCATCATACTTGCTCAGGCCACTCTGCCCATTCCTATTGTCTGTCACTTCTTTCTTATAAATGGTTTCCATAAATAAATGCAAACCAAAGCTGGCTCTTTGAAAAGATCAATAAACTTGATAAAACTCTTACCATACTAACCAACACAAGAGAGAAGACACAGATTTCCAATATCAGAAATGAAAGACAGGTCATCGCTGTTGATGCCGCAGACATGAAAAGGTTAATGAAAGAATAGAATGGAGAATTCTAAGCCCACAAGTTTGACGACGTAGATGAAAAGGACCAATTCCTTGGGATCACAAACTACCAAAACTTATATAAGGAGCAGTAGTTCAAATGTGCCTATTTTATTAAAGAATTAAGTTAATAATAATCTTCCACATCAGAAAGCACCAGACCCAGATGGGTTCACTGGAGATTCTACCAAACACTTAAGGAAGAAATAACCCCAGTTCTCCTGGGGCCTCCCTGGTGTTGCAAGTTTTAAAGTCTCAGTGTTATCAAGCTACGGCCCACCACTGTGACATAAGTTCAATCCCTGGCCAGGGAGCAGCAGACCTCTCCTGTCTTTCCGCTGCTCCCCTCAACAGTGTATTTCAGTAGATCTGCCTGTTCTGCTCCCCACTCTGTCTCTGGTGAATCCTCTCACCTCCCATACCTATGGTCTAGACCCCAGTTGTTGTATGCATTAATAAAAATAAATCTTACTAAAAAAAGAAATAATCCCAGTTCTCTACAGCTCTTCCAGAAGATGAAAGTAGAGGGGACTCTTCATAACTCATTGAATGAGGCCAAAATTCAAATTTCAAATTTGATTCAAAATTCAAATTCGAACCACAATATCAAAACCAAATAAAGATGCTACAAGAAAGAAAACTATAGACCAATATATTTCATGAGCACAGAGAATATATTAGCAAATAAAAGCCAATAATGTATAAAAAGAATTACACCCCACGATCAATTGGGTGATATTCCTGGTATGCAAGCCTCTCTCAACATTCAGAAATCACATCAATCATTGCAATCCACCTTGTCAACAGGCTAAAGAAGACAAATCATATACTCGTGTCAATAGCGGAAGAGAAAGATACTTGACAAAAATCCATAACCTCGTCATGATAAAACTTCTCAGCACACTAAAGAAGGAGAGAAACTTCCTCAATTTTATTTAAAAGCATCCCGAGAAAGCAAAAGCTAACATGGCAATTAATGGTGAGGGACAGGATGCCTTTCCCTTAAGGCTGGGGGAGGAGACACTTCCTCCCCCACCAACCCCATTCCTGGCCTAATAGAAACCCTAACCCAGTGATGAAAGTCATACAGATCAGAGAGAAAGAAATGAACTGTTTTTAACCATAGATGATGTGATTGTTTCTGTAGAAAATTCCAAAGAATCTACGAAACAATTCCTTGAACTATGAGAGAGCATGACACGGTCATAAGAAGGGTGGCGCCTCCCTGGTGGTGCAGGGGGTTAAATGTCAACACAGTGAAGCAACCCACAACCACTGCAGCAGGAGTTCAATCCCCAGCCAGAGAGCAATCCACATGGCACAGCAGACCTCTCCTGTCTTGCCCACTGCTCCCCTCAGCAGGGTATCTTAGTAAATCCACCTGTTCTGCTCCCCACTATGTTTCTGGTGAATCCTCTCACCACCACCCCTCCACATGTCTGGCCTGCACCCCAGCTCTTGCATGCATAAATAATCTTTAAAAAAAAAAAAAAAAGACAGAAGAGGGCCTCCCATGGTGGTGCAGGCAGTTGGGTGCCATGCTGTGAAGCTGTCCGCAGCCTCTGCAGCGCAGGTTCCATCCTGGCCGGCCGGCAAGGGTCCCACATGGCACAGCAGACCTCTCCTGTCTCGCCCGCTGCTCCCCTCAGCAGTGTAATTTGTCAGTCTGCCTGTTCTGTTCCCCGCTCTGTCTCTGGTGAATCCTCTCACCCTCCCACACATCTGGCCTGTACCCTGGTTCTTGTATAAAATAAATAAATAAATCTTTTTTTAAAAAAAAGACAGAAGAGTAACTGAGGCACTTGCTTTCTTACAAATTGTTTCTCTTTCACTGTGGAGAAAAGCTTAACCCAAAGAAATGGGCATGACACTCCAAAGTGGTGGCCAAACTGAGGAGAAAGTGCCCCATCCCATAGGACCTAACCAGCCTGCAAAGATACCATCACGTGTGCTCTTTCTGTTACAGGATATGCCTCATCTCAGATTTTCTTGGGGGGCTGGAGAGAGGACGGATGCTAAGGAAGTCGTGCTTTGCGGGGAAGCAGGCTCACCTGAGGGGACGGTCTTGATATCAGAGAATCTGGCATGGCTTGGTGAAGGGAAAAGAGAATTTAGTCCTCCTTCGCACAAAGTGAACGTCAAAATGTGCACTTTAATAAAGGAGAGAGGAAATTGTGTTGCAGCCTTTGCAAAATCATCTTGATTTTCTTTCCCAGCATTTAGTTATGCGCTCTGCTGTCATTTTCTCGCCCCCCCTCCTCCCGCAGCCGCTTTCCTGAGGCTGCCTGGTGCCTCTGCTCAGCGACCCCATGGCTACTGTCCAAGCTGGGTGTGCGCCATCAAACGCGAGGTTGGCAGCAGCAACTGTCCCTGTTCCCGCACAGCCTGGACTGAAGGAACCAGGTGCATGCTCAGGCCAGACTCGGGCTGGCTCTGACAGTCACATTCACGATGCTCCTTTTACTCAGCTTTCTGTGGAGTCCACTGAACAGCCTTCCAGAACCCTCCAATCTGGCCAAATCCCCAAATCCTGGACGATGGCCCCTGTGCTCCTTGGGAGAGATGCAACAGTGGGGTTTAAGTGGCACCAGTCCCGTGGGGTGCCCAGGAGCCTTACAACACCCACCATCACTTTCTGAATGCACAGAGCCTTGCACCAGCCCAGAGAGCCTGAGACCTCCCAGCTCCTCTTCCACGGAGACAGAGTGGCGGGTTTCTCCAGCCTCGCGGGGCAGCAGGAGAATACCCCGGCTGAGCTCTGCGCCCTACCAAGCAGGCTGAAGCTCTGCGGGGTCATTCATTGGCCTACCCAGCTGTCTTCCCCAACTGCCACCGACACAGCCCCCAAATAAGAGGCCCTAAGAAGCAGATACCTATTTGTAGGAACTTATGCATGAAACAGGATATTGAATCTTTTGTATCTTTGAGAAAGTCCAAGGACCTCAGTCTTAGATTTTCAGAACTGCTAAAACCAGGCTTGGACCTCCAGCTCCACAGGTTTCTCTGCATCTCAGCCGCGCTGTGTCCCTGCAGTGATGGCCCGGACCACAGAGCGACACGGTGGCCGTGTCTCTGGGCGAGCAGGGCCGTGTCTTGGGACACGGTGCTGCCACATGGTCTTGGGGACTGGCATTCTCCCAAGCGGGGATCTGTGTGAAAGGCTGTAATCATCCAAATATTTTCCTCTGGGTCCCCATTTTGCAAGACCGCACGGAAGTTGCTAAGAAACTTCCGCACGATAGTTACTTGTCAGAACTCAGAAAGGAAAGGGAAGCCAACATCACACTTGGGGAGAGACTCTCCTTCAAAAACAGCCTCTGGCTTCGAGAACAATTGCAATTTGTAAGAGTTCTTTGTGTCTAACCTTATGCAGAAAAGATTCCCTCTGGGATGGGAAGCTTCCCCTAAATTGGAAACAGAAAGAATTCTCTTTGGGGAATTCCTATCAAAAAGAAAGAAGAAACATGTCCCTTTGTGATTTCTCAGTGGAATTCTCTTGTACAAACACACACCAAGATAAAAAAGATAACATTCCGAGAAGCTTCTTTCTACATGGCCAGTCAGAGGAAAAAGAGACGTACGAATCTGTGAAGACAGAAGGTAATCTCTGAAACTTAAGTACAAATTCACTTCTGTTCTTCCTAAATAAGATCTATAAGGAAAGCTTATTTAAGCTTTCACCTTTGGAGAATTAGTTTTGTGAGATTTAAAATCAAATTGAAGAAATAGAACCAAGAAGTCACCCCCAAAAGTAGAAATGTTAAAATAAAGAAAAAAGAAAACAGCATTGCAGTATCCACCCTTGATGCCACGGATCTCAGGAAGACCCAGAAGAGGGACCGTCGGCTGCAGGGTCTGCGAGGCGCAGACGGGCAAGACGGGGTGGGCGGGAACATGGGCTGGGGTTAAAGGAGCGCAGAGGCAGCTGGAGCAAAGGACTGGACCAGGAGCGCAGCAGGGAATCCAAGGCCTCAAAACCACAGCGATGGTCTGTAGGCTCTGCCGGGGAAGCTGGGGGGAACAAACATAAACAGGCCTCAGGCAAATGAATTGCCAGGCCCTCCCAGCCAGCCTGGAAGAGCTTGTTCAGGGAGTCAAACGCCACGAAAAATAAAGGGAATGTCAGCAGAAGTCCAGCAAGAAAAATAACACAAGGATCTCATTACTTCACAACTTCGGGAGGATAAAGAGACGACACAACAATTGGGAGAGCAAAGCAAAGTGACCTTTATCCCCCCTAGATTTCCACAGGGAGCCGGAAATATATGACAAGGTCACGGGCTTACCGGGCAGGCTGCAGGGCTGCAGGCGACACAAAATCCAAAGAGGCAAAGTTAGGTGTGGAGGAAACTGAATGCAAAATTTAGCATTATTTCTTCCTAACACACCTTTCTGTCCCCCTCGGGCTGGTTTCTAATGGGGCACCATCTTGGAAAGTATCTTTTGGATTCAAGTGTTCTGATAGCAGTGGAGTTTCGAGATGCAAATCACTTTGAGCCAGCATGTGACCTGTTCCTACTAACTTACTAAAATGCCTGTAAAGACCCTCTTTGAAGACTCCCTCTTCCAATGAAATGAAGACTCACCATGGCCGGGCTCTGGAAGGCGGGAACATAGCACTTCCTCGCACTTTCTCAGTCCTAACCCAGAAGCCTCTTGAATGGAAAATAATTCTTCGCTTTATCAAGCAGCCACACACAACACAGGATTTAGATTTCCAGTTTTTGACTCAATGTCTTAAGAAAGTCAGAGATGTTGAGATTCACACATGAAGTTGCTTATGGCACATTTCAAGAATAAAAAAACTGCGAGGAAAGGGTTAAATAAATCATAATGTACACATGAGAGTACTTATAAAAACATATTTTAGGAAAATTTAACAACAGGGGAATTTGTTCACAATGCAGTCTCAAGTGATCAAAAGTAGACTAAAATTTATAGTTGGAACACAACTGTGTTTTACACACACACACACATCTAGAAAAATCCCACAAGCACATACATAAATGAGGAAACAGTATCATGTGTGGGTGGCAGGAACACAACTTTAATTTCACTCTTGATACCATTAAAATGACCTACAGTGCACATAGGCAGCTTTTATAATAATAAAAATAGTATACAATTATCTAAATAAAAAATAAATGAATACCTGGGGTGAGCCTTAGAACAACACTGAACTTTAAGACCATCATTTATTCTTGCATTAACAGAGATAAGTGAATAGCTCTTTTCTGAATCTCAGATAGTAATATATGCCCCCTGGGCTGGGGTGGGATGAGAGGGAATAATTTAATTAAAACAACATATTTTAAGTGTCAAACTCTAGCACCAGTGGGCATGAATAAGTTCAAGCTGAAGCCAGACCCATGGTTGCAAGTCTGCCATGACAGACTCTGGCAAGTCAGTCTTTCAATTGCCACTTCTCCAAGAGTGGGGGAAACCACACCGCCTTGTGGGCCTTCACTGTGACACCCTCCCACCCCAATTTGGAAGGTGCCTGCAAATGCAGCAAATGAGCCTTCCTGTGACAAATGCCAGGTGGCAGCAGGAGGAGTGAAACGATCCTTCATGATGGTAGCAGAACAAGACAGCAAGTCACACAGAGATGAAAATAATGGAAGACCTAATACAAGAATAAACGACCCAGCACCTAATTCCATAGCCAGGTCTCACATCAGAGCCCCTGGAATACATTTAGAGCGTGTCATTAAAAGTGGGTTTTCGTGTCCCACAAGGACATACACTAGATCACGCCTAAGACTAAAACGTCAGTGTGTCAAATGCACGTGGAGGTGGCCTCAGGCAATGAGAAATGTTTCAATTTCTTTCTATGAATATTTCATCTGAATTACATTTCTTGCTGTCTGGTGTGATGTTCACACAGGGCTGAGTTACTCACAGCCAGGGTGCTACTTGGCCTCTCAGATCTTCTTCATCATCTCCAAATAAAAGTTCAGTTTTACCCTGAAATATAGCACCAAAGCCAAAGATTTTGTAATGTGTTTTTTAGAATAAATCATTATCATGCATCCCAAAATATAACATAATGGAATATTTTAATTTTGTTGGTGAAAACTTTCAACAGACCTAGATAATCCTGAATATGTAGGTGTTTGATATTTTTATGCAAAAAGATGTTAAATGTTTACTTTAGATTCAAAACCAGTTTCTCTGTGAAAGCAAAACATGTAGGAAAGAATGCTCTAGAATATTTTTAAACACTTGAAACTGGCTGAGGATCAAGACTAAGACAGATTTCAGGCCCTCCTGGTCGGGGATTTCCTAGGGGAATGAAACAGCGATGTTGAAAGAAGGCAGGAGACAGCACCATAAACGCGAACGAGAGCCCAGGGCGTAGCTTTCCCCTCAGGCAGATTCACCTGGGCTGGTTCTGAGTTCCACAACGGCCTCTGGACCAGCCTTGGATGTATGTATGGGGGTTCTGTCATAACCCCCATAAGACCAGCCTCCAGCCTGCAGCCTGTGGTGTCCTCGACCACCAGCCTGATGCAAGCTTTGCCATCCATTTAAGAGAACATGCCAGAGTCGCGAATCTGACTATAACTCCATGAGGATAGCACTTGCCTCTTATCCAGGGGCTCGGGTCTGCAGCAAGGGCCGTCTTCGAGGGGGTGCTGGGAATGTGTCTGAACCCTTGGGCTGCTAGAACCAAGTATCGCAGACAGGGTCGTTCTCTCCAATGGGAATGTATTTCTCCCCATCCTGGAAGCTGAAGTCCAAGCTTAGGTGCCAGCATGGGCAGGTGAGCCCCTATTCTGGGCTGCAGACTTGTATCCTTGTGTGGGCGTTCTCTGGAGCCTCTGCCATAAGAGCACTAATCCCATTCATGAGGGCCCCACCCTCCACCCTACAGACTTGAGCATCCCCAAAGCCCCCCTTTCTTAATACCTTTGGGGATTAGGATTCAGCATGAGTCTTGGGGACACGCAAGCATTCAGACCATGCAGCTCCTCTGACCGTGTCTTCAGAGATGAGGTCAGTCCTGAGGTACCCTGTCTCATCATGCTCCTTTCCGGGGTCAGTGGGCTGGGCCTTGCTGGTTTCTGGACGATTTTGCAGTGAGTACTGTGACTAAATGATGGTGTCCAGCTTGTGGACAACCCTCTCGCTGCTGCTCCCTTCAAGGTCCGTGCACACATTAAGCTGATTTCTCCCGGGTGGGCATCCCGGGGTTCCCCACCCACATAATCGTCCTGATCTTTCTGAGAGTGACCTCAACTTTCGGGCTTCAGAGTGAGCGGACAGTGAGACCCCCACGAATCAAGTCATGTTGGAACTCGGACATGCTGGCCCGTCTGCAGCCCCAGCGGCCTCACCTCCCATCTCCAACAAGCACGTTCACCAGACACTGAGCGAATGCCTGCTGGAATCCGCGTCTTCATCCCTGAGTTAAAACACTTTCAAAGGCAATGAGCTTGTCCTCGCCTTTTTAGCACTGGAACTAAATGTTGCATTCCCAAGGAAAAAATCTTTACTTATAAAAAGCCTCCTTTGGGGAGAGAGGGAGAGATTCTTATCTGGAAAACGATGGGGCAGAAGGGTAACATTTTACAAGCGGCCGTAAAATCCAGGAAACGCTCCCAGCATGAGACATCTGGGAGGACAGACACTCCGACCCCAAGGGGGGTCAGCGTCCAGCTCTCTGAGGGCCTCGTTGGGGGGACAAGCACAGGCGTGTGTCTGTAGACGCCCGCCCCAACACCCCACAACTGCTTACGGGGCCACCACCTGTCTTCATGGAGTGGCCACAGCTCCTCGCCTTCTCCCTTCTCTGTTGTCTTCAGACACTTTTAAATCCAGCCATTTAAAGGCCGCTTAGCCTCGTCCCCCTCTACCTAAAAGAATCATCATAGCGTTGCATCTCGCCTAAGTCCTCCCGGGGCTTCTGAGCCATCACCTCCATATTTGACTCTAGCTCCTTAGCCATTAAGAAAAGTGATCCCATCGACCCACTGGCCCTTGGAGGTCGAGCTGCTCCTGGGGCATCTGCCCGCTCAGTGCCGTGGCCGCCTGGCTGTGCCCAGAGACCACCAGCCAGATTCACCCTCCAGACCCGGAGGTCATCCCTCTGAACTCAGAGCAGGGGCTGGGTTCTGCTGGAGCCCCCTGGGCCTGGCCCTCTGAAAAAGTACTTCCTCCCTGAACTCCTAACCTGAACTCCTTACCAAAGCCACATTTTAAGTTGGGGGAGGGAGCAGACCGAGTGAGTCCGCGGGTCCACCCAACCAGCTGGAAGGGCCTGGTCAATCACGGCCTTGAGGATGGCTGGGCCGCCCGAGTCTCCCAAGAGCCCGCGAGCCAGGATGCAGCTCTCCAACCCTGGGCACAGGGTCACCTGCCTGGCCAACCAGCATGTCTGCATAAGGAAGCCACGAAACTCAATCACCAGAACATGCGGGGTCCCTACCCTCAGCCTCCCACTCCCCAACCTACCCTCGAGAAGAGGCACAGAGGGTTCCCAGCCGCATTGTCAGGTCCACGGGCTTGATGCAAAATGCACAAACTCTAGCTAGAAACAAAAGTTCATCTTGGCTACTTTAGCAGAAACCTCGACACAGCAAGAGGGCTGCACCACTCTGCTTTCAAGCAGAATCAAGGACTGTGTCCCTATTAGTTGCCTGCGGTGCTGTGACAAAGCACCATGAGCTTTGTGGCTCACAGCAACAGACATTTCTTCTCTCACGGTTCTGGGAGCCAAAAGTTCAAGCTCACGAGGGCCAGCGGCCAGCGGGCTAGTGGGGCCGGCTTCCTCTGCAGGCCCCAAGGGAGGAAACTGCCTCCCCTTCCAGCCCCTCGTGGGGCCAGAGCCTGGCGCCCTGCGCCTGCCGCCATCACGCCTGTCGCGCCTGTCTCCACCAGATGTCCCTGCTGCCTGGGCCTGCCCCCACCTGGCCGTGTCCGTAGAAGCACCTCGGTCATATTGACAGGGACACTCCCTCCTCTGTGACCTCATCTCAACTCAACTGATTATACCTACAGAGATCTTCTCTCCAAATAAGGTGACAACCTGAGGTCCTGGGGGATTAGGATTCAACACATCCTCCAGGAGACATGCTGCAGCCCAGGACCCCCTCCTGTTCCGTTAAAGAGCCCCCGTCTTCCCCAACAAAGCAGCAAATGCATCTCTTCATAAAGCCACGCGGACTCAGACATGAGCGAGGGCTGTCCGGCATGCTATTCTCACCACTGCGCCGCCTCTGCCCCAGCTCCCCACCAGCCCTGCTCCTCCACAGGTGAGCCGTGCTAGCACCTGGATGTGAGCAGCCTCCAAGAAGCCTCCATTGGCTCCTGAGCTCCTGCACACGTCTTTGAAGGCATTTTCTCACTCTGCAAAATATGCATCTTCAGGGGAGGCTTCTGTCACTGGTTTTATAAAAATAGAATATTTTTGGTGCCTCTTCTGAATCTTGTGTTTTTCACACAATAACATCTGTTTAAGTCCCTCGGAACCATCTAATAAGGCTGTAAATCATAACTTTCCACGGTGGTGTAAGATCCCTGCAGTGTGGGCTTCGCCAACAATTAGCAGTGATTGTCTCAGCTCCTTGGGGATGGGGACGCTCTTCTGGTCTCTCTGTTTACCTGCGGCTGGCACAGCACCGAGACGTGACAGCGCTTGAATAAACAGGTGCCTCTCTCAGGCATTTTCAGAAATTTCCACTCTAACTTGAGAGAATTGGGGACATATATTTTATCTGTCCCCTACTCGGGAAGGACACGCAGTGTCAGTGCCCCCGGGACCAGTGCTCCACATTCCACATGACCATGACCTTGAGCCATCCTAGCAGCCCAGTGGGGCCAAAGTCCCCTCGCCCCACCAAGAAGGAAGGGGGTTCAAGAAGTGAGTGCTAAGCTGTGTGATCTGTTGGGGTCCCCAAACCATCCTACTCCACCACTCAGGCTCCAAAAGACGAGCATTACCTCACCTTCTAGAACTGGTTCCAAGAGGCTGCTTTTGACTGTCCCCAAACCCAGCCCTCAGGGAACATGAT